GGAAACTGACATCGTACGTGTTGAACCAGGCTTGGAGTCAGGTACGGTGTTCGGTTTGTAATGTAGTTGGTGGTCCATCGAAGTTGTGCGTTTTGGTTTTAAACACATCACACACCACCGTACCCATACATATTTTCTGGCCGCATGTAGTGTATACGGGGTCTTCTGATTGACCACGTCTCCCTTGTGCGGTTTTTTGTGACATCACACATATCTATGGGCTCCCCGAGTGTATATATATCATCCCTTTGACCGATACTGAGGGGTATGTGTTGGCCATGAATGGATTCCTCCTAGTTCGTGTTAGGGCCGGTCACCGTCACATGTCACTCAACCAAAGCTCGAGCTCATGCGTTGTCAGGATTCCCTCCCACATGCTCAGATTGCTGGGTTCGACCTACATCAAAGCCTGCGTATCTCGTTCTTAATTACCTTGCCTTCATGGTTGTTGTCTGTATCGAGAGGTAGGCACCACATCTAAATTGTACATTATTCTATATTGAAAACACACATCACCCCTTCCCAACGTACATCATTTTGGGCCGCATGCAAGAGGTGCTGGTTTCTGGGTCGTGTGGGAAGGACCCTCCATATCGCCGTCACTCACTAGGCGACGGTTCCAAATATCGTCGCAGAAAGGGGTTTAAAATCATTTGTATAGCACCGACGCGTACCAGTGACACGCAGATGGTTGAGGCCGAGTGCGAGTGCCCCAGCCAGTGTCTGGGAGGAAGGGTTGGTAACGCATACGCAAGGGATGGGGGCGCACTCCAGCTGCTACATGTTGGATTCCACATTAAGGTTTTTCTGTTTCGATCTTTCAGAACAAAAGAATCGGGACAAAGGAACCCACGTTTATTTCTCAATTTCTTGATTGTAGGATCCTGCTATCTCTCTTGCCATGCAAAGCATATGGTAGGAAAGATATGTCTCCAAATATACTTAACACATTTTATTTCTTAGTTTTATTATTTCTAGATCTGCAACAAGTCAGGTTGTCATATAGCAATCTAGTTTTGTTCTACCTGTAGTCATTCCCTGCTTAACCTATTTCATGCAGGTATTCTATTGGGAACAAGGGTATGCATCCCCTGTTATAACTTTTAGATTTGAAGGTCAGTCATTAGGTAAGAGTTTGGTCTGCGTAATTATCGGTTAGTTTTTTTACATTATATGTGGTCAAATATGGTGTTGCTCTCTTCCTTATTCTCTTATTGTAAGTTATCGATATATGTTGTTCTACTACCCTCCTCACTGCCAATCACAACGACATATTAATCAAAGCCTCTGGATCTGAATTTGCTATAGTTTGTACCTTGCAATTTCAATAGATTGATGAGCTCAAAATTGAGAAGATGGATTACTGTTTACTTTTTTTGTGCTGAAATGTCAATCTAAAGAATGTCACACATTACCCATACCCAATTTTTACTAACTCTTTAAATCATTGCCAAATTTCCCACTGCAACGCGCGGGGTATCCTCTAGTACTTCTATACGGTGGGTAACACCACCACCAATCTTTCTTGAAGATTTTTGTTTGGCGTCACATACATTGCATTATCTTCATAATTGGTTTGTATTCAACATTGGATCTGTCTTCACGATTTATCTTCAAGTTCTATTTGGATCTCATTGCCTATATATGTTTGGTGACTAGAACTAAGAGCGCAAGAATAAAATAAAGGAACAAGAGAGTAATGGAAATGATGAAATCAACAATAGGGCCAATGCGTTACAGTGGGGCTGTCGCGGACTTGGACTCATGGAGACACTCGCTATTTGATTGTACTATGGCCAAATGCACGCGAACATTAGCTTCAGAGGAAGTTGCCGAGCTAATGGTACTAACACATGCAAGCAAAGCATCTAACTTGATTTTTGAGTTGATCGAGGAACTTCCACAACCTGGGTTGACAATGATGTTCGTAACCTTGTTGGCAATTTGGATGCTCGACAAAAGATCATTCATACAACTATATTTTAGAGTTTGTTATCCACACATTGCTTCATTGGGAGTTTCATGGCGGACTTGGACGTGCTACAATCTCCAAAGAATGACAACTTGGCGAGGCAAAGGGACGTGGTCACGCCATTTTGGATCCCTCCTCCAACAGGCTATTGGAGTGAACGTCGATGTTGCCTTTACCAAGCAAGATAGTAAGGGTGCGGCGACGATGATCGTAATATGTTTTGACGATGATATCATGGCAGCTTCGATTGCCATTTTTAAAGGTATTCAAGTCTTTGAGACTTTGGAATCACTCGTCTGCTAGGAGGCGCTCTCACTGGCAAGTGTTTTGCTCGTCCATAAGGTGAGAATTGCAAGCGACTACCTCTGGGTCATCAATACCCTCCGTGATAGTTCGATGTGTCACTATAGGAAGATGACAAAGGAGATTTTGGCAGGAGCAGGGTGTTCGAAATGATATCATTTGTTGATGTGAATATAGAATCGCATATGTTAACAACGGTTGATCACTGAGTGTGGCTGACTACTCCATCTAAGGACATGTATATCTCAAATTCCTTAAATAAAGTGGGTACTGTGTCCTTAAATAAAGTGGGTACCGTGTCTAAAAAAACTAGATGATTTCCCCGCGCGTTGCTGCGGGAGCTTAAAGATTAATTTTGGACACATTCTATATGAATGAAATGACCTAAATCAAAAGTTATTACTTTTGAATATAATTATATGTGAACAAAGGCTTTGCATATATGTTGGACTATTGGAGATGGAACAATTAAATTGGCGTATGCATGTCCTACAAGATAGTTCTAGTGGATGATGACCTGACATATTTGATGATGTGAAGGGATGCATGTTGAGAGAATTAGACTTAGTGGGGATCAACTATTTATGTATTATTATAGATTCCAGATATCTGTATGTCTCTAGGAAAATAGGAAAATATGATTAATATCCTTTAGTACGATTTTTTAAAACATCCTTGCAGAGTGAAATCGAAGAGCTGGAGCCAAATAATAATATTAGCACCACACCGTACCCCACCAACCCTGCTCCGTATGGCGGTCCACGCATGTCAGTGATGGAACCGCACAAACTAAGGACGGGCCCACCAGTTTTAGCGACCCCAAAACGGGTCGACATCTGGGTCTACCCGTCATTGGCGTGAAGCAGACGAGGGGCACGCGGAGAGAGAGAGAAGAGAGTTAAAGCGGCCATTTCTTCGTCGACCTCGTCGCCCCCGCGCAGGCGTGCTCCGTCGTCGTCGTCGTCGCGGCCGTCAAAGGAGAACGATTCCACACGGAGTTGCTGTTTTTATCCGAGAAGCCCGGATACTCGGTCAGAACCACTCGATCTCGATCTCTCGCTTTGTTAATCTTGGGTCTAGCTAGGTGGATAAGGTGCGATTTTGGGGGCGAATTTTCCTCCATTTCTTCATACAATCTTGATTGGTTTTGGAATGACCTCGATTGCTTGGATTTCCGCGCGAATTTTATATCTAATTCTTGCCGTTCGCGTTGTTGCAGGGATTGCGCGGGGGAGGCAGCGGTCCATTCCTGCGGTCGACTCGGTTCTTGATAGGCTAGTAAAAAGAGAGAGAGGGAGGGAGGGATGGACGAGAAGGCAGCCAAGATGGAGAAGCTCTCGTCGGCGGCGGCTTTCGTGGAGGGCGGCGTGCAGGACGCCTGCGACGACGCCTGCAGCATCTGCCTCGAGGCCTTCTGCGACAGCGACCCCTCCACGGTACCTACCTCTCGCTTGGGGATGTAATGGTGATTGGCCATGGAAATCTTTCGATTCGGTGGTAGACGTGTCTGAAGTTCTGGTTTCTTGTTTTGAACTGCCACAGGTTACAAGCTGCAAGCATGATTTCCATCTCCAGTGCATCCTTGAGTGGTGAGGACCATGTCAAGTTCTGTAACCATTCCGTTAGAAATTTAGAATGATATTGCCTGAAACTATCATACGAGTATGCAGTTTGCTGCTGTTAGGTTGTTCATGGTAAGATTTGAAACATCGATGAATTGATTCGAGAGCCACATTATATTTTCAAGAGTTGCAGTTTATATTTTGGATGCTGAATGATTGGTTTCCTGTGTTGCACTTTTTGGCCGGAGGATTTGTTGTTCTGCACCATTTATCTTCATTTCTTACTTCTGCCACTCATTCAGAACTTTCAGATGAAACTCTCAGATGAAACTTTCAGATGAGTACTATATAGTAGCTTGATCACTACAATGACCCATTGACTGTCACTTGTAATTCGGAAGGGTTGCAATTTCTCTTTGTAACTGTTGGTTGATTGGTTTACCACATCGTTGTGTTGCGACTGCGACTCCTTATCATATATTCTGATGTACTAACGTAATTGATGTTGTAGGTGCCAGAGAAGCTCCCAGTGTCCCATGTGTTGGCAGGCAATCAGCATGAAGGACCCTCTGAGGTAGAAATTCTTATGTAAACCAGGAGTGAGATCAATTGTACATTTCTAGCCAAGTCTCACTTAAATTCTTGAATTACAGTCAAGAGCTCCTTGAGGCTGTTGAACAGGAGAAGAATGTGCAAGCAGATCGCTCACGCACGACCGCCGTTTTTAGCCATCCAATGCTCGGACATTTTGAGGTGTCATTTCGCATTTCCATTGCCCTTCTACCAATTGCTTTCTTGCTGCCATGTCTCGATCCACCCAATGCCTGTACTGCTGCTGATGCTGCTATTTCTCCCAGGTACCAGTTGATACAGATGATGCTGAGCTTGAAGAACGTCTCGTGCAACACCTGGCCGCTGCTGCCGTGACACGTAGGTCGCACCGCCATGGTAGAAGGGAAGGCCACCGCGGAAGATCAGGACCACACGGTCGCACACAAATTGTAGTATTTTCGACAACTGAAACTACCTCTAGTGACCCCATTTCTTCAGATTCACCACAAGTAGGGGACAGTGAGCATTCTCCTGCTATAATGTCTGCTCCTGTGGATGCCATGGAAGAAGCATCTGCCAACATACTAGTGCACAATAATACTTCATCTAACTGCCCTGTTGGATCAAATGATAGGTGATTCCTATTTTCATATGATGACATAACTACCGGACGGCCTACATCGGTGTTTTTTTTTTCTTCTCATGTATATTTGTTTAACACTCACTACATAATGACCTTGATCAGAATTTCTGGTGATGAAGCATCTCCCATCAACCAGGATGGAGCTGGACCATCCGATCCACAATCTTTCTCAAACACACTCAAGACTCGCCTGCAGTCGGTTTCGGTCAAGTAATACTCTCTGATTCCTTCAAACCTCAGAGACCTTTGGAATTGGAAAACCAACATTATTGTAGCCAACTTATATTTGTGGTCTCCCTTAACAATGCTAGGTACAAGGACTCGATAACGAAGAACACCCGTGGGTGGAAGGAACGGTGGCTCTCTCGGAGTGACACGATATCGAGTCTTGGTTCTGATGTGAGGAGGGAGGTTAATGCCGGAATCGCTGCTGTGTCTCGCATGATGGAGCGGCTAGAAACGAGGGATGGGAGTGGCTCTGGGCCCTCATCGGCTTCTTCGGACAATGTTTCTTCTGCTACAAATAATCAGGGGGCCGCGTCGTCCAACTTTTGTGCTTCCGTAAATGGCGCCTCGTCTTCGGCAACTTGTGCGTCGAGATCTGGTTCACAATGAACCATCTTCTACCATGAAAGATGAACTTATTTTTTAGCTGCGAGTTGAACCTGGCATCTGGTACTATTAGAACAGTCACATGTAACATGTTTGATTTGTGCAACCAAAGATGCAGCTGTAAAGAACTGGTTTCAAGAATGATATGAACCAGGGTGGTGCAACGTCTACCACACAGTAGCTCTTGTTCGTTTCTTCGTAGACCTGCAAGGCTACGACAGTCAGTTGTTTCATCAGGCCATCTTAGGAGCCATAGTGAAGGGAACATCAGAGTCGTGATATGAGATTCATGTCTCCATGAACTCTCTGTATAGAGATGCAGAACAGTAACTGCACAGATAATTTCTGTTCATTGTTGACAAAAAATCTGCATCGATTTCGCAGTCTTGTATTCCTTCCGAATGTGGCACCGATACACAAAACTTGCACTTCTTTCTGGCCTAACATGTTCTTTGGTCTCTGCTTTGCTTTCCAACTCAAATAGCTAACCAGGCCATGGACTGATGGATTGTCTGTACTCAACTCAAATAGCTAACCAGGCCATGGACTGATGGATTGTCTGTACTTGAAGGGGCGCGCTTTGTTGTGCCATTGATTCTTTTTCTCGCAAAAACACAAAGATTGCATATCATTGCATTGATAGGAAGAGGGATGACTACATTGGCCACGCGTACACAAGCCGGCGCGGGCTCAAATAGCCGGAGCAGTTAGGGGAGGGGCTGCTCGTCCCCGATACATTATGCTAGAACCTATCTCTCAGAGATCATGTTCGCCAAGCCGTTGGCGCCGGCGCTAGCCCACAAGCAAGCGTCTTCTTGAATGGATTGAAGCAGACTTGTGGCGGAGGGTTGCAACTGATCGAAGACGCATCCATTCCGGTGCTTCCAGATTGCCCATGCGGTGAGAGTGATGATGGAGTTGAGTCCTCTACGCAGAGCCGTGGGTGATGAAGAACAGGTGTCAATCCGCCATTCCGCCAATGGTGATAAGAGCAGGTGTCGATCCGCCATTCCGCGAATGGTGTCCGAACTTGGGATCGTGGCAGTCGATCTACACCAAGAGAGGACCTCATGCCAAATTTGGCGGGAGAAGGGGCAAGCAGCAAATAGGTGGTGCATGTCTTCGGTGGCCTGGTCACACAGCACACATCTGCCGTTGTGGGGCAGATCTCGTCGGGCGAGGCGGTCGACCGTCCAACACCGATCCTTCAAGGCAAGCCAGATGAAGACCTTGATGCGTAGGGGGCCCATGTCTTCCAAGTAAGCTTCCATGAAGCGTCGATCGTAGAACCATGGAAGAGCACTAGGTAGCAGGACTTGGTGGAGTAGACGCCGAACTCCGTCCACTTCCGGCCCAGCCGCGAGGGTTGCGTTTTGCAGCACATGCCAAAGGTCGACGTACTGAAGGAGGGTGGCCGGGCCAAGCGCGTCGGCAATGTCACGCACCCATGCACGCCAGGGTAGGCCCTCAGCCACCGTTCGGTCGCGGGGGTGACGCCAAGACACCAAAGAGAATACCAGAGGCGTGAGCTCGGAGATGGCCCTGCCCTCGATCTAGGAGTCGGTCCAGAACTTGCAGGTACGGCCATCACGCACCTCCCAGACGGTGGAAGCTCTGAAAATCTGCATGGCCGCAGGGTCATGAGGAAGGTGAAGCTGGCTCCAGGGGCGCGAAGCGTCGGTACGCTGGAGCCAAAGCCATCGGGTGCGCAGGGCAACGCCAGTGCGCTGCTGGTCATGAATCCCCATGCCGCTGAGAAAGGTGGGGCGACACACTCGGTCCCAATTCACACGGCATTGTCCTCCACGCGCATATTTGCAGCCAACCCAAAGGAAGCCTCAAATGATTCGGTTGACCTGAGTGAGGATGGTCTTGTTGACGGCGATGGCGACGAGGATGGGGATGGGCATGGCACAGAGGACATGCCTATAGAGCGCGAGGCGATCCCCGAGGGAGAGCATGGACCCATGCCAAGTGGAAAGATTCTTCTCAAGCTTGTCAATGAGCGGCATGAGGTCGATCGTCGAGGGCTTGCGGATGGAGAGCGGGAGGCCGAGGTACTTCACCGGGAAATGGGCAATCAGGCATGCCATCCCAGCCGCGATCGTGGCGATGTGCTCATCGGTGCATCGGATGGGCGCGGCCGAGCACTTGGCGAAGTTTGTGCGGAGCCCTGAAGCCTTGCCGAAGATGTCAAGCAAGCAGCGAATGGTGCGGATGTCGCGGGTGTCGGGGTGGCTGAAAATAACGACATCATCTGCATAGAGGGAAACACTCGATGCCAGGTGCCTTGTGGTCAACCGCTGGAGGAGGCCTTGCTCAATGGCTCGCTGAAGGAGCGAGTTGAGCACATCGATGACAATGATGAAGAGCATTGGGGAAATAGGGTCCCCTTGCCGTAGCCCGCATGCGTGAAGAATTGGCTGCCCGGGGACGCCATTGATGAGCACACACGTTGACGCGGTGGATAGCAGGATGGAGATCCACTCGCACCATCGGTTTCCAAAGCCTAGGTGCCGAAGCGTGTCAAGCAGAAAAGGCCACGCCACCGAGTTGAACGCCCTCGCGATGTCGAGCTTGAGAAGCATCCGTGACATCTTGAGGTTATGAAGAAGTCTAGCCATTTGTTGGACAAGGAGGAAGTTGTCGTGGATGCTCCGGTCGGCAATAAATGTGCTCTGATTCGTGGAAATCATCTTGCCCAAATGCGGTGCCAGCCGGAGAGAGAGCGCCTTCGCGAACAACATCGCGATGAGATGAATGAGACTAATGGGGCGATAGTCGAAGAGAGCCGCCGCATCTTGCTTCTTTGGAAGAAGAGTGAGGAGCGCCTCGTTGAGCCGCTGGAAACCACGCCTGTTGAGCGCATAGAGTTTGTCGAAGACGGTGCAAATGGCATGCTTGATCACGTCCCAAGCACTCCGGAGAAATTCAGCGGTAAATCCATCGGGGCCTGGCGCCTTCCCAAGCGGTAAGCTCTTGACAGCAGCCCAAATCTCATCCTCAGAGAAAGGCGCGTCGATGCTGGAGAGGTCGAAGGGCCCGACGTGGACCGCAGAGAGGTCAATGGAGAAAGGCCGTGGCTTCGTCATTCCAAGGATTCAGGTGAAGTGATGGTAGGCGGCTTCAGCAAGTGCGGCAAGGTCAGAGACGGAGGTGTCCCCCACCTGCAACTCGAAGATCCGGTTCTTCTGCTTGCGGTGTGCAACATGCACCTAGAAGAACTTTTGGCCCGCTTCACCGTCCCGCAGCCAGGAAAGCCTGACTCGTTGGCGCGAGATCGAGCGCTCGAGCGAAGCGAGGCCAAGGTACGCCACTTTGAGGCGCCGACGTAGCCAAGCCTCGGCTAGGGAGAGGGGCTGCAAATCTTGAGCCGCATCGAGGCACGCAATCAGCTCGCGAGCAACCAGAAGCTGCCGGGACACGTCCCCAATATTCTTCGTGCTCCATCTTTGGAGGCGCCGAGCGGTGGTCTTAAGGCATGCCACCAATCTGCGGAACGGGTCCGACTCATCAGCCGCGGTAGCCCAGGCCTCGAGCATGACCTGCATGTATCCATTGGTGCGCGGCCAGAACCTCTCAAGTGGAATCTCTTGGTGCCATGCGAGCGCGTGGTGCAATCTAAGAGAAGAGGCGCGTGATCGGATGCTGCGGAGGAGAGGCAGCGAAGCATGCATTGCGGGTGGAGTTGCTCCCAAGCAGAATTGCAGAGGACCCTGTCGATGCGTGTGAGGGTCGGAGTGCCGCGCTCACTCGACCATGTATAGCGCCTCCCATGCAGATAGATATCACGCAGCTCCTCATCAGCGAGGAAGCGGCGGAAGCAGGACATGACCCGATGGTTGAGCCAGGAGTTATTCTTGTCCGCCGCCCCTGTGATCATGTTGAAGTCGCCTCCAAGGATCCAAGGGCCAGCGCACGATGATCGAACCTCGCTAAGGTCACCGAGGAAAGAAATCTTGTCATCATCTTCCCGCGGGCCATATACATCAGTAAGCCACCAATGATGCGTGACATCAAGAGAGGAGGCTAAGGCGGTGATGTGGTGCTCGCCACGGCATGGATCAGAAAGCGCGATCATGTCCGAGCGCCAAGCAAGCAGGATGCCCCCACGGGCCCCATCCGCAGGAAGGAAGAAGAACTCAGAAAAGGAAGGGCCGAGCGTCTTAGTGACAAGTGAGAAAGAAAGGGAAGCCATCTTAGTCTCCTGGATGCAAACGATACAAGGTGATGCAATGGTGATCACTCTGCGAACGACGGTGCGCTTGGCCGGGGCATTGAGGCCACGCACGTTCCAAAGTACAATGCGAAGGTTGTAATCCATGGAGAAACGGTAGGGTCCTGTGGTGGCCTAGACAACCACTAGGCCTCGACAGCATGAGGCAGGGGGGAGAGCAAGCCGACGGGCAGGTTGAGGAGCTCTAGGATGCACCAGCCGAAGAGGTCGGTGAACGCCTCTAGCACATCGTGCGCCAGCGGCCTCTGAAAGAGGCGCTCGTACTTCGCCAGGGTTGCTGCAGAGATGGGGACGTCGTCCGAGACAAGCCCGAGGCGGTGTAGGACTAGCTTTTTGGCCTTGAGTTTGGAGCTGAGCCCGCAGTCCGCCTTGGCGATCCTGCCACTTCTTCGAGGTGTGGAGTTTGGCGGCAACTCCTTTCTACGGCTGCGGGAGGAAGGCACAGGAAGAATCTGCGCGATCAGCCGCTGGATGGACTCCAAAAATGCATACAGGGGTTCCACGTTGGCATGCGCTCCACGTGGTGAGTCTGGAGCGGTGGCATGGGTGGGATCCGGCATCGCGGGCACGGGATCACTCGGAATCGCTGCGGGCAAATCACGCATGGTAGGATCCGAGGTGGGGACGGCCGGTGGTTTGATGGCGGGGCCGCACGAAGGGCTCGGGGGGCCCGCAACGTGGCCAGACAGGGCCAACTGCCCAGCATGAGGCGAGGAGGGTGGCCCATTGTTACACGCCTCGGGATTGGTCTCGATCCCCGTTGGGG